GGCCAAAGTCGGCGGTGGTACCAAGCCCACCTTGATGAGAGGTTCCACCATGTTCGGTGGCGGTGGTGAGAGGTGGTGGTGCCACCATGTCGATTGCAGGACCATGGGTGGAATGGCTTTGGGCCGTCGCGGATTTAGCCATCGCGGCGGTTTTGCCTCTCGTCTTCATGCTTCCAACCATGGTTGTTTGGAAGGCTTCGGTGGATTCGAAAATAGGAGGAACGGATTCCTTGAGCACGCGTTGAGTATAACTCGTGCTCTCAATGAAAGCGCCAAATGTTTGTGCAAATAATCTCACGGGAGAATATTCGCTTCTAGATCCTTCAACCTTCGATCTTCCTTCTCTCTCTTCCTCGATTCCTGTAAAACAGATTGGAGTAAATAGACCACACCCGGGGGGTGTTTGCCAAAGGCCCTCCGATGTCTAAGTTAGTTCGAGTGTTTGTAGAAAAACAATAGGGAGAGAAAGAAAGTGGTGGCTAGGGTTTGTGAGAAATGATTTCTGCAGAGTTTCAGTAGGAATTTAGACGTACCCCCACCATTGTGTGTGGCTATGCTTTTATAATGGTCTTGGAGGCTAAGGTTTTAGAGGAATAATTCCGTAGATGGAATGGAATTATTCCTCCCCTTTTTGGAATTGATTTGATTAATTAGGGTAAATCAAATCCCTAATTGTGGTAGGTATCAAATCAAATCCTAATTCAATTGGGTAACTCCTCATTTAATTGGGAATCGTGGTAATTAACCAAATCAATTATTAACCCAATTAGGCAACGTTCAATTTAATTGGGTAATCCCCAATTAAATTGAGTAACTCCCAATCAGGTTAATTAATTCCCAATTAGGTCAGATAATCCCCAAATTGAATGAATTATTTGACTTAGGGTTTTGATTTAATTTGGTTACCACAGATAGCAGGAAGCCATCTTTTCCGATCTGTCTGAAACCAAAAGCAAACTCACCAGATGGCGATGGCCAGGACAAGTTATCATTAAGTGCAGCGAGGGATGAACCTAAAGATATGTTTGTGGATGTTTGAGCAAGGGAGGTACATGGAAGCAATATAATAAGGAAGAAGCAGAAAAGACATAGCAATGCAGAAGCCATCATAAGATTACTTAATTACTTCACTGCTATCAAATTTATCAAACTGGACTGAGATCTTAAACAAAAAAATACTAGACGAATGTTCTATTGACTTTAAAACATATTATTCAAGTCACAACCACACAATTTCCAGCGATGATTGGGGCAATAATGTCTGTCAGTTTGCGTATGTTTCGGGCACAAGTTACAGGACCTGAGTCTAAATGCACCAATGTAAGGTTTGGAATCATGCATTCTGCTACTTTTTAAGTCACAAGTAATAAGCTCGTCTTCACCAATGACCGAGTAAAAGTTCCGTGGTAGATTTACAGGTGGAGCTTTAAATTTGCCTTTTCGGGTCATGGGTGCAATAACTTGGAAGCTGCCTTCTTTGAATCCTTCAAACACATTCCTCTCAATCCTGCTTTATGTCTAGGAGTGAGATGTGTTAAGTGTATAGTGAGATGCTTCTTTCCTGTCCTCCCTGGCCTAAAAGAAGCATTCTTTTTCTAACCCTCTCATTGGGTTGCATTTCAACATTCAAAATTGAATGTGGTCCTACAGGGAAAAAAATGTTATTTTCATCTGTACTCCATGAAGGGAAAAAAATGTTATTTTCATCATTCAATCAAACCCATGAATTTTTTATGACCTCTCAGTATGAAGATGTGAAAAGAGAGAGTGATTGGCTCCGAGGGTGCTATATCCAGCTCAAGGGTACAAATTTAATCATGGAAAATCAATTGGAAGTACGTTTGAGTCTTTATTTGGTAGAAATTTTGAGACAAACAAAAGCGTGAGTGGCAAACAAGGTGGCAATGACCTGATGAAAAAAAGGTAGAAAGACTTTTTGGGCTTCCCTTTCGTGCAATGTGGGAGCAATGTTTGCATGAGCTGACTTTTAACTCCATAAGACATTATTCTATCTTAGACATTTCAAGGTCATGTACTTTTTATACAATTAGAAATCCAGCCTTTCCTATATTATATATGTTTGCAAGTCTTTTTCAATCTTTATATGCAGGGTAATCACTTGGTAGCTGCCTTCTTTGAATCCTTCAAACACATTCCTCGCGATCCTGCTTTATCTTTATGAGTGAGGTTTATTATGTGTATATGAGATCAATTACCCTAATCTTTGAGTCTGCTCTGATTTCACTATCTTTATATTGCATATGCATAATTTTTCAAGTTCAAACAAATATGTACGCCATAAAAAATTCATCGCGGTTTATATGTGGAGTACATGATCAAATACTGAAAATACCATCTTTTATTTATGAAACAGAAAATACAAAAAGAAAATACCATTTTTTCGCTGTTCATTTTTTCATGCAACGTTGTTAACAAGTGGGGTTGACATGATATCTTTTACTGTCAAACGGAGATTTTGTCAAGCAAGTTTGCAGCACATTGGCCTTTTATTTATGCTCAAAGTTATACAATGACAAGAAAGCAAGTTTTGAGTAGCTTAATGAAACCTAATTCACTAGGATGACAAGGAAAGTGATGAAAAAAGTAGAACAGAGAGAAACGAAACGAAATGATACAACAACAATTATATATATTTACAGTATTGAATTTATGGAGGAGGAGGTGGAGCTGAGACTTCAACAGTTCCTTCAAGCATCAGTGTGACTTTCTTCATGGTAGGTCTGAGTGATGGATCCTCCTGAATGCACCATATTGCAATCATCACATACTTCTCCATCTCGTTGATGTCATTGATTTCCTCATCATTCTCGAAGAGCTGGTGCAGCTTCTTTTGCATATAGCAATCATATGCCCAATCAGCTAGTATCATTTCATCTTCATTGTCTGCCACTGCTTCAAAATGCTTCCTGCAGAAAATAATCTCTAACAACAAAATGCCATAGCTGTAAACATCAACCTTGACTGTGATAGGTAAGCTTCTGAACCATTCAGGGGCCACATACCCTCTGGTTCCCCTGATAGCAGTCATGCTTCGAGTCTGGTCCAATCTCAAAAGCTTCGCTAATCCAAAGTCAGAAATTCTTGCTGTGAAATAGTCATCAAGAAGAATGTTTTGAGGCTTGATGTCACAGTGAACAATTTGGCTGCTGCACTCCTCATGCAAATACAAAAGCCCTCTTGCAATTCCCAAGGCAATTTGCCTTCTCTGGTACCAGTTTGGCATTGATTCTCCAAAGAGGAAGCTTGCTAGAGAGCCGTTGCTCATAAACTCATATACAAGAATTCGGTAGTCCCCCTCGTGACAAAATCCAAGTAGCTGGACTAAATTTCGGTGATTTGTTCTGCCTATAGCTCTCACTTCAGCTTTGAATTCCAAATCATTTTCTCTGACCTTAGCGTCTAAACGTTTGACAGCAACACACCTTCCAGTATCAGAAGCTAAAACTCCTTTAAAAACTGTTGCAGAAGCACCACGTCCTAGTTCGTCCTTGAATTCGTTCGTAGCTTTTTTTAGCTCCTCATAAGTGAAATCCTTCAAATTCATGCCTGACATGACTGGATGATGTTGAATGACCTTTGCTTTTCTAGAATAGACGCGAGAAACAACCAAATAGGTTATTAATGGTAAGAGGATGTACAGGAGCCCCGAGCTACTCAGGAGCACTGATCCAACAAGTATCAGAGTTGAATCTTTGGTTTTTGTGATTGCACCTCCACCTGACCTAAAAGTAGAGTTGTCTTTCCCAAATTTGATCAGAGCTTTTGCATTAACACTAGGGCCAATCACCCCATTCGAAAAAGGGAGTCTCTTCTTGAAACAGTGTCCACCGGAGTTGACAATTGCAACAGCACAAAAACAATCATCTAGGCAATTCTGTCTGCACCAATTCTCAGTTACCTCCACAAAATGCTCATAATCTCCAAGAGGAAAATTTGTGTTTTGCATGTCTTCAAAATCAAAAAGATGCTCTGGTGAGACCTGGTCACAACTTTGTGGAACAAAGTTTTGTTTACATCCTTTGCGCACATCATTTGGATCAATAAAGGTGTAACCACGAGGGCAAGAGCAATTTGGTCCGTCATCTTGAAGCCTACATATGCTGTTGATTCCGCATGCACCACGGCCCATTTCTTCCATAATTGACAAGCAGATATTTGGAGGTATGGAAACTGCAGTAGACCAAGCCATGGGTTCGTCCATCGAGCTAGCACTTTTTGGACAAACATATTGCCTCAAAACTCCATCATACCCTAAAGTTGCTCTCTGGTAGTAATTTTGTATTGAAGTTGGACTTTGTAATATGGTTTTTAGTACGCTTCCATTCCTGGATACGAGGTAAATGAGGCCAGACTGGTTGAAGATGACCTGAAATCCAACATTTGTAGTTTCGGCTGACCAATAAGCAGAATTGGCATAGCCTTGTGGGAATTTTGTAGTGCAAAGCTCGAGATTTCCATCAGGTTGTAGTGTAAACAGGAATCTACCTCTTGAGTAATTTGTAGCCGTGTAGCGAGCATAGAGGCTGCTGTTTTGATTTAGAGTCTGTGTTGGCAGGATTGTATCAGTTGGTTGATCAAAACTCTGCCACAACGTGCCCGAATTTTGGTTGGCCAGCACGAAATTTCCAGTGTCTAGCATGGCTGCATAGGCAACTCCAGATTCAGCATACCATATTCTGTTGCCAGTTGCATCTTTGAGCATAAACTGGCCATCACGTGTAAGTTCAACTTGGGATCCTTGTGGCACAAGATTATCTCGTGTTTTGCATCTCTTGAAAATCAAAGAAATGCTCTGGTGAGGCTTGGTCACAACTTTGTGGAACAAATTTAGGTTTACATCCTTTGCCCTCATCATTTGGATCAATAAAGGTGTAACCATGAGGGCACTCGCAACCTTCATCTCCAAGCCTACATAAGCTGTTGAATCCTGAAGATATGTTTCTGGATGTTTGAGCTATGGTGGAATATGGGAGAATCATGAAAAGGAAGAAGCAGAGAAGATCGAGCACGGAAAAAACCATGGTAAGATGAGCGTTTTGCTACAGCCTACTAGGAGTGAGATGTATTAAGTGTACAATGAGATGCTTCTTTCCTGTCCTCCCTGGCCTAAAAGAAGCATTCTTTTTCTAACCCCCTCATTGGGTTGCACCCAATTTTCAACATTCAAAATTGAATGTGGTCCTTGAGGGAAAAAGATGTTATTTTCATCATTTGTACTCCATGAATGGCCATAGATCATTCAATCAAACCCAAGAATTTTTTATGACCTCTCCTTATATGAATTTTGAAAATGATACAGTATGATACAATTAGAAATCCAGCCTTTCCTATATTATATATGTTTGCAAGTCTTTTTCAATCTTTATATGCAGGGTAATCACTTGGAAGCTGCCTTCTTTGAATCCTTCAGACACATTCTAATTGTATCATACTGTATCATTTTCAAAATTCAAAAAAAAAAAGAAGGCAGCTTCCAAGTGATTACCCTGCATATAAAGATTGAAAAAGACTTGCAAACATATATAATATAGGAAAGGCTGGATTTCTAATTGTATCATACTGTATCATTTTCAAAAAAAAAAAAAAAATTTTGGAAAAAAAAAAAAAAATTTTGAAAAAAAAAAAAAAAAAAAAAAAAAAAAAAAAGAAATTTTGAGACAAACAACAACAAAAGTGTGAGCGGCAAACATGACATTTTGGTCGGCATGGGCTACGCTGATCTCAATCTGGAGATTAAAGTTTGGTGGAATTGGAAAGCATTTGAGCTGACTTTGACTCCATAAAACTATCTTGATTAAAAATAAAATAAAAAGACTCCATAAAACTATTCAATCTTAGACTTTTAAACACGCTATCAAAGTCATGTGGAATTTTGTGGCAAACTCAATTAGAAATCCAGCCTTTCTCTTAAAATTTTCCAAGCTTTCTCACTCACTGCACAACTTCTCCAGCCTTGATGAATTAAACCACAACTATAGGCCACTATTCTAGTTTTGTTTGATCAATTTGGAGCCAAATACTCACCTCAATTACCATGACTTTTGATGTGTTATTTCTTCTCTACTTCATCCTTTTCATGTTTGTACCTTCTTCTACCACAGCTCAAACTTACAGAAACATATCTTTAGGCTCATCCCTCACTGCACTGAATGATGATAACTCATCATGGCAATCACCATCTGCTGAATTTGCTTTCGGTTTTTGACAGATTGGAAAGGATGGCTTCCTACTAGCCATCTGGTTCAACAAGATAAACGAGAAAACCATTGTGTGGTCAGCCCATGGGCATAATCTTGTCCCACAAGGATCCAAAGTTGAACTCACTGCAGATGGCCAGTCTTTGCTCAGTGATATTTCAACAGGCAAAGACAGATCAATAGCTTCTTCTCCTGCTACTGGCGTTGCCTATGCAGCAATGCTAGACACTGGAAATTTTGTGCTGGCCAACCAAAATTCAACCATTCTGTGGGGGAGTTTTGATCAACCAACTGATACAATCCTACCCGCACAGGCTCTTAATAACGGAAGCAGACTCTTTGCTCGCTATACGGCAACAAATTACTCAAGAGGTAGATTCCTGTTTACACTATCTAGTGGAAATCTCAAACTTTACACAACAAATTTCCCACTAGATTATCCCTCTTCCAGTTATTGGAAGACCGATACTAATGGTAGTGGCTTTGAAGTAATATTCAACCAGTCTGGCTCTATTTACCTTGCTGCAAGGAATGGAACCATACTTAATGTAATATCCTCCAATACATTATCAAAGCAAGATTTATACCAGAGAGCAACTCTTGACTATGACGGAGTTTTGAGGCACTATGTCTACCGTAAAGGCACTGGCTCAAATGCCGGAGTTTGGTCCACATTGTCCTCCGGATGCATACCTTCAAATATCTGCATGAGTATCCCGCAACTGATAGGTGGTGGTGTATGTGGGTTCAACAGCTTATGTCAACATGACCAAGGACAGCCAATCTGCAAGTGTCCATCTGGTTATACCTTGATGGATCCACATGATGTGTTGAAAGGCTGCAAACAGAACTTTGCTCCACAAAGCTGTGATGAGGCCTCAGCAGAGACCGATCTTTTCTATCTTCAAGAGATGAACAATGTGTATTGGCAGGGATCTGAATATGACTTCTTTCCGGGCGTAACTGAGGATTGGTGCAGGCAGACTTGCCTAGCTGATTGTTACTGCACCAGTGCCAGTTTCCTAAATGGGAAATGTTGGTTGAGGGGAGCCCCACAACTCAATGGGAGGATAGACAACAGTTTTATGTCAAAAACTTTGATCAAAATAAGGAAAGGCAACTCTACTTCGAAATCAGCCGGAAGCACAAATACAAAAAGGAAAGATGGGTCAACTTTAATTGTTGTTGGATCAGTGCTCCTCAGTAGCTTGGGGTTTCTCAACTTCCTCTTACCATTGATAACCTATTTGATTGTTTCTCGCATCTATTCTAGAAAAGTTAAGGTGATTCAGCCTTGTCCAGTCATGCAGGGCATGAATTTGAAGTGTTTCACTTATGAGGAGTTAAAAGAAGCCACAAACGAATTCAAGGAAGAACTAGGACGTGGCGCATCGGCAACAGTTTTTAAAGGAAAGTTTTCGTCTGATAATGTCCAGTCAACAGTTTTTATTCAGTGCAATAATTTGGTGGAGGCTCTTTGCCAAATCTCATTTTCCCGCCATGTTTGCTACTCTGATTAACTGGAACATTAAAGAAGTTTATTTTGTGGTCAATTATGTTTAATTATTCTATCCCCAATCCCATATCAGCTGAGCTGGTGAACACCAAAGAGATTTGCATAGCAAATAATTTTAGAATAAAAAGGTGAGATGAAACATTTACTTAGTTACCTTTTTTTGTTGTTGTAGGTTTCGTAAATACTCTGTACCACTCCTCCAGTTTCTAAGGGAACTTCCGTCGAACAGATTACGAACGTTAAGATCTTCCGAACTCTCGCAAGTTACTTGTGGATGAAAGATAACTATGAATTCCGTATCAGGGTCATTGCTGCCTTGGGCTTCTTGGTTGGGGCTAAGGTTCTCAATGTTCAATTGCCTTTCCTCTTCAAGCTTGCTGTGGATTGGTTGAGCTCAGCTACTGGCAATGCTACAGCACTTGCTTCTTTCACTGCCGCCAATTCAACCCAGTTGGCTCTTTTTGCAACTCCTGTTTCGGTTTTAATTGGATATGGGATTGCACGCACGGGTGCTTCTGCTTTCAACGGTACTACGCATGAAGTAATTGCTTGCTCATACCATTCCTTTGGATATTCATGCTTCAATAACATGTTCATGTATTGAAATTTGGAACTGGGTTCTTGCCCATTTCTAAAGTTCTTCAAAATTGTATTGTGCAGAATTACGGACTGCTGTGTTTTCTAAAGTAGCACTGCGAACAATCCGATCAGTGTCTAGGAAGGTATGAGTATGGCACTCCCAAAATGTCTTTTATCGAATATCCAAGCCGCATAAAACCTTAACCATGTTCTAAGTCATTGCAAATTCTTCTTGGTTTCATATTGAACATTCTTGTTAATCTCTAAGAAAACAAGATGCCTTATATCCTAAAATCCTTTTTGTGACATATGCAATTTAAACTTTTGCAGGTCTTCTCTCATTTGGATGACCTTGATCTTCGGTATCATCTTAGGTATTCATATATATTCCTTTCCGTGTTTGTTCAGAATGTATTTATTAGTTGCAGACGGGCCAGTATGTTGTGCTTCTTAACATGCTCGAATTCATGATTTTGTTGTCATTTGAGGAGATATTAGTTTATAATAAAAGCCTTTTCAGTATAGTTGATTTTGAGCTATTAGTTGCACTCTTAACATTTGCATTATCATGTGGCTAATGTAATTTCAGTCGAGAAACCGGCGCACTAAATAGGATAATTGACCGTGGTAGCCGTGCAATAAATTTTATTCTATCGTCTATGGTGTTCAATGTTGTGCCCACCATCTTAGAGGTATAGATCTGTACCTTAGATTATTGTTGAGCTATTTTGATGTGTGTAAGGACACTGGCTGGACTTAGTAATGTAGTGCGAAGCAAGGTCGAGGGTTCCATCTTGCTTTTGTTTCTTGTTAGAGCAACTCCACCCATTTGCCCTTAGTCATGGCAAGGGGGGGAGCTAGGGCAGCCACCATTCACGTGAATAGTGGTTGCCCTTGCAAA